TACAGTCCACTTCTCCTTTACTATCTTACTGTTTTTCTCTCCTCTTCTCTCTGGCGTAAGGCCAACACAGTGCACGTATTACTCCACCAACCTGAGGGTCAACCGGGAAAATGGGACCCTGACCAGACATGGTGAGCCCTCAGGGGAAGGGTTGCTGTGTGGGATGGGAGATGGTGGGTGGGCCAGACCAAAGGAGGGCACTTGGGGCTTTGGGCACAGAGAGCCTGGGGGATGCCCACTTTTTACATCTCCCTGGGCCCCGCCGCCTGCACCCTGAAGCACTCAGTCACAGCTGCCAACACCTCTGAGCTCTTACTATGTGCCAGGTGCGGTCTGAAGTGCTTTGTATGAATTAACCCACATTAATGCTCAGAAACCACCCAAGGAGGGCATTACACTGATCAGCTCAGGACATGGAGAGACAGGTGCCCACTTGGCTCTCTCACTCATCTTCCAATGACACCTACACTCAACCCGAGGTTGGTTCCAGGCCTGCCTCTCAAGCACTCTTGTTTTGTTTTTGTTTTTGTTTTTGTGTTTTGTTAATCCTCACCTGAGAGTATTTTCCCATTGGTTTTTAGAGACAGTGAAAGGGAGGAGACAGAGAGAAAGGAAACATCAATGTGAGACACACACATCGATTGGTTGTCTCCCACAGTAGGTTTGGGGAGAGAGCCTGCAACTGAGGTACATGCCCTTGGCCAAAATTGAACCCTGGACCCTTCAGTCCCTGGACCCATGCTCTATTCACTTAGCCCAATGGAATAGGACTTGTCTGCAGGAACCTAAGGGTGGCAGCCATCACTGCAGAGAAGGCACATAGCAGGCAAACACAGATGCCAATAGAATTGAACCAACTCCTTAGGCTGCTCTCTGAACCTCATTTAACTCATCTGTAAAATGGGGAGAAAGGCCCTGACAGTCACAGTTCACATGAGGCTCCTCTGATGCCACATCCATTGGACACAAGGCCTGGTGCCCAGTAGGAGTGAGGGACACATGGCCCAGGTGAACCCCTGTCCCTCAGCCATTGGCTGTGTGGGCCTGGGCACACCCAGGTTGCCTCACCTGTGAGGAGGGACCCACTGTACCATCTCCATGGTCTCAGCCAGAGGCTTTCTCTTCCAGAGAATGGCACAGATCATTTTGGCCACCTGCTGCTGCCCAAGGACCCCAAGACCTTCATGCTTGCTTTTTTCCCAGAAGACAAGCAGAACATGGGGCTGGCTTTCTTTGGTAGGTACTCTGAAACTCCCACCATTCCCCCAGGGCCTATGGTTGGGCCCCAGACCTCCATTCCTCCCTGGCCTCTACCAAGCCACCACCCCATCTCCCCCCCACCCCACCCCCACACACACAGACATGCTCACCTCTCCCCTTGCTCCCTCCTGCAGCTGACAAGCCAGAGGTGACCCCAGAGCAAATGGAACAGTTCTATGACTACCTCACGTGCATGGGCATGGACAAGTCCGAAGTTCTGTACGGCGACGAGAAAAAGGTGAGGGCCAGGAGGACTAGGTGGTGCCCACCAGAGGACGCTCCTGCTTTGGGCAGCCCAGAGGCCCAGAGAGGGCCATCACCCAGCCAGGGCTGCACAGTGAGCCAGGAGAATCTGCTTTTCTGTGCCCAGCTCACTGCGGGGACCACTGAGCTTCCCAGAGGCCCATGGGGTCTGCTTCCCCAGTCCAGAGCACACTCCACCTTCCCCCAGGACCGCTGCCCTCCCCTGTCACTGTGCTTTCTTGTCCCGCTGTCCTTTAGAATCCGTGCCTGCCGCTGGAGAAGCAGCACGAAGAGGAAAGGAGGAAGGAAAAAGAGAAGTCTGAGACAGGCTCAGCGTTGGATTAGGACCTCGGGGACTTGGGAGGCCCATCCTGAGACACCCCCACCCTCCCTTTGTGCCTCAGTTCTTTCCCTCAGTTGCACCAATAAAGTTACTACATTTGGAATAGGCAGGTTTTCATTTGCTCACTCATTCATTCACTCATTCACTCATTCATTCATGTTGAAACCTGCACCCCCAACTGCAGAAGCCCCTGCTGTAACCCCCAGCACACATGTAGGATGGACGATGGCACGTGGTGTGGGAGCCCAGCACGAGGAGGTTCCTTCTGCAGGAGGGGGAGTCTGGGAAGGCTTCCTGGAAGGGGCATGTGAACCAGCCCAGAAAGATTAGGAGCTCGGTAACACCTGCTGTTCCTGCTGCAAGCCAAGGGCCTGAGAGGACAGGTTTGAGGAACATAAGGCAGAGGACCCAAATCGATTGGATTAGGGTGGAGAGGACTAGGCTCAGGGCATGGTGCCCGGCTTGAAAGACTTTAGGTCAAACATTACCATGGCCATCTGGGAAGTGAGCACCCAGGGCAGGGCCAGGGCCAGGGCCAGGGCCAGGGCAGAGACAGGGGGAAAATTGGAGACACAGAAGCAACAGAGGGAGGCAGGAAGAGTGGGATTGTGCCCCCAACAAGGCCATGGGTGAGAAGGGGGGATGGCTGTGAGCATGAGAAGCCAGTGCTCTAGATTGCAAGAGGGATGGAGTCCCTGTGGGGTGGACCTAAACAGGCAGTCTGAGACCCGCCTAGGGGTCCTGGATTGAAGAGTGTGTAGACCTTGCTGAGGGACTACCCCCCCACCATGGAACAATTTTATGCACAGGGTCTCTAGTACCTCAATAAAGCTGGATATCTACTCTAATAAAAGAGAAAATGCAAATTGACTATCACTTTGTTATGCCCCCTCTAGCCAATCAGGAGTGAATATGCAGATTACACCTTCCAATATGGCAGCAGCCCCACCATCTAGAGCACATGTGTCAAACACAAGGCCCGCAGGCCAAATCCGTCCCGCCAGGCCTTGCAATGTGGCCCGCACCGCGCTGTCATCACTGCACTTCGCTGCGTTTCCATCACAATGACAGTTTATGACTGTTCAGTAAACCATTCGGCCCGCGATTTAGGCTGGATTTTAGATTTTGGCCCCTTCTCTGATTGAGTTCGACACCCCTAATCTAGAGTGTCAGGACAGAGCAGGAAGCCTGCTATCAGGGGGAGGGCCAGAGGCAGAGGGAGAAGGGCCCAGGGAGCTACAGGAGTGGTGCTCCACCCAGAGTGAAGACTGAAGGCAGCAGCCAGAGGGAAGGCCTGGCTCCCGGGTGCCAGAGGAAAACCGATGCCATCAGAAAGGGGAAGGAAGGCCTATTGTATGAATCTCTTGTGCCAGAGGCCTCTAGTAATACCATAAAATGCAATAGAACCATATAAAGACAGGGCATGTTTGAGTAAATTATAATCTAGGAAGTGAATGAAAGATGATGTGAGCTTGAAAATCACCACTCACTATACTGAAACATGGAAAACTATTCAAAATATATAAAATGGCCCTAGCTGCTTTTGCTCAGTGGATGGAGCACCAGCCTACAGTTTCAGGTTTGATTCTGGGCAAGGGCACAAGCCTGGGTTGCAGGCTTGATCCTCAGGAGGGGGCATGCAGGAGGCAACCAATCAATGATTCCAATCACTGATGTTTCTATCTCTCCCTCCCTCTCCCTTCCTCTCTGAAATCAATTAAAATACAATTAAAAAAATAAATAAAATGGGTGAGCATCCAAAGTTGTAAGCATACCATAATAATACTTTGTGAAGATATCTGTGTGGATAAAGATTTGGTTCTGTCATGGAGAAATACAGAAGGATGGTATAGTAATTGCACAGGATTGATTTCCTGAGCACCCACTGTGTGCTGGGCACTGCTGCAGGATTGGGGGCAGCTGGTGAGAGAAGGCAAGCTTCCCTCTTGAATAGCTTCCCTCTTGAATAGCTTCCCTTTTGATAAAGACAACACAGAAGTGACTTCCTGTTTCAGATGGTGGAGATGCTTCACATAATATATTTACTGAAAATAGACGGTCACCTTAATGCCCCATGTGGTTTTTTGTTGTTTTTCTTGGAGAATATCCCTGCCTCCAGGCCTGGGTTCAGAACTCTCTGGACTTTTGTTCCTTTACAGTTGTTACCACACTCAACTGGATTGAATTCATGTTTGCCTTCCCCCACACCCTGCACCCCTATCCCTAAATCTCCCCTACACCCCAGGCTGGCCTGGGGACTCTCCAAGGTGCCTTCAACACCCTGTACCCCTATCCTCACATCTCCCCTACACCCCAGGCTGGCCCAGGGACTCTCCAAGGTGCCTTCAGCATCTGATTTATGATGGGTTCCTCTCAAGTCCTGCCACTCAGCAGGGCAGGTGTGGATGGGACTGTGAGCACCTGTCCCTCTATTATCACTAACATCACTCCAGCTGTTTCCACCTGGGCTTTGAACAGCCTGACATTTGGGCCCTGGGCTCAAGGTCAGGGAACCAAATTAGACCCGATCTTGGAGGCTTTCCCTGGGCTGACATTTGGAAAAGGAGGGAAGGTTTCTGCACGTGGCATTTCCCAAACGTGCACCGGATTATGTGTTACAGCGGGTCCCCAGGGCCCTGCCCACAGCTCATTATTATAAAGGTCACCGCACCCCTAAGCCGCCAGTACCTCTGACACCAGCGGCATCCTCCTCTGGCCATGGCGCTGCCCTGGGCCCTTGCAGTCCTGAGCCTTCTTCCTATGCTGGACGCCCAGAGCCCGGCATGTCTCAATTTCTCGGTGCCCATCACCAATGCCTCCCTGGACCAGGTGGGTGCCTGGGCCCTGAGCGCTGTGCGAGTGGGGTCCCTCTCTGGATCTCCCTTCGCCTGCTGGCTTGCGGCCATCCTCTCCTGGGCACTGGGTGAGAACCAGGCCAGCCTCCAAGCTCAGAGCCTGCTTGCAAAGTCCCTCAGCAGGGCAAGCTGCACTGGGGAGGGGCCCAAGGAGGCGGGGAGGAGGTTGTTTGGCAGAGGGGGAGGAGGGGAGAGGGGGGTGATGGCTGATTCCTAGAGTCAGCTCCTGCAGCCCCCCCACCCTCTGTCTCCTGATTTTCAAAGTGGAAAGATCTGCCCTAGACTCATCCCTGCTGACTATCCATGATTAAGTTCTCAGTCCTCAACACCTGCTCCTGCTTTTCCTCAGATCTCTGGCAAGTGGTTTTTTATCGCTGACGCTTCCCGCCTCCTAGATTACAAGATGGAAGTTAATGAATCACATGCATTCTTCCTTTATTTGACCCCCAACCACACGGAGGACAGGATACAGCTCAGACAGTATATGACCTTGTAAGCCCCACATCTGGCCCTTGGGTACCATCTCAGCCTCAGCCCAGCTTCTGGCCCCTCCTCCCAGCTGCCCAAACCCAGGAGCTAGCCCCTGCCCCCTCCTGGCCTCAGCCTTCTCATCCAGGGAATGGGGGCAGGCTGACTCTAATTGCCACCTGACTCTCCCCCTCCAAGATTGTGACAGTCCACTTCTCCTTGGCTATCTTATTGCTTTTCTCTCCTCTTCTCTCTGGCTTCAGTGAGGACGAGTGCATGTATAACTCCACCAGTCTGAGGATCCACCGGGAAAATGCGACCCTGAACACACATGGTGAGCCCTCAGGGGAAGGGTTGCTGAGTGGGCTGGGAGATGGTGGGTGGGCCAGCCCAAAGGAGGGCACCTGGGGCTTCGGGCAGAGAGAGCCCGGGAGACGCCCACTTCTTACATCTCCCTGGGCCCTGGCGCCTGCACCCTGAAGCAGTCAGTCACACCTCTCAGCTGGCCACACCTCTGAGCTTTTACTACCCTGTTTCCCCGAAAATAAGACAGTGTCTTATATTAATTTTTTTCTCCCAAAGTTGCGCTAGGTCTTATTTTCAGAGTATGTCTTATCTTTCCATGCACTAGGTCTTATTTTCAGGGAAACACGGTATGTGCCAGGTGCGGTCTGAAGTGCTTTGTATGAATTAACCCACATTAATGCTCACAAACCACCCATGGAGGGCATTACACTGATCAGCTCAGGACATGGAGAGACAGGTGCCCACTCGGCTCTCTCACTCATCTTCCAATGACACCCACACTCAACCCGAGGTTGGTTCCAGTCCTGCCTCTCAAGCACTCTTGTTTTATTTTTGTGTTTTGTTAATCCTCACCTGAAAGTATTTTCCCCTTGGTTTTTAGAGAGATTGAAAGGGAGGGGGAGACACAGAGAGAAAGGAAAATTCAATATGAGAGACATACTTTGATTGATTGTCTTCCACACCAAAGCCAAGGATCAAGACTGTAACTGAGGTATATGCCCTTGGCCAGAATAGAACCCTGAACCCTTCAGTCCTGGCTAGGGCTCAGTCACTCTTTGTCCTCTGGGACCTAAGAGTGGCAGCCCACCCATGAACCCACCATCACTGTGAGAAGGCACATAGCAGGCACACACAGATGCCAATGGAATTGAACCAACACCTGAGGCTGCTCTCTGAACCTCACTTAACTCATCTGCAAAATGGGGAGAAAGGCCCTGACAGCCACAGTTCACATGAGGCTCCTCTAATGATGCCACATCCATTGGGCACAGGGCCTGGTGCCCAGTAGGAGTGAGGGACACATGGCCCAGGTGAACCCCTGTCCCTCAGTCATTGGCTGTGTGGGCCTGGGCACACCCAGGTTGCCTACCTGTGACTAGGGACCCACTGTGCCATCTACATGGTATCACCCAGATGCTTTCTCTTCCAGAGAATGGCGCACAATATTTTGGTCACTTATTGCTGCTCAAGGACCCCAAGACCTTCATGCTCGCTACTTTCCCAGAAGACAAGCAGGAATTGGGGTTGTCCTTCTTTGGTAATCACCCCAAACTACCACGAGGTTTCCCCCAGGGCCACCTGCTCCTAGGGCTGGGCCCCTAGACCTCCAGTCCTCCCTGGTCTCTACCCACCCTCCTCCCCTGCCCACCCCACACACACACTGACATGCTCACCTGTCCCCATGCTTCCTCCTGCAGCTGACAAGCCAGAGGTGACCCCGGAGCAAATGGAAGAGTTCTATGACTACCTCACGTGCATGGGCATGGACAAGTCGGATGTCCTGTACCCCAATCAGAAAAAGGTGAGGGCCAGGAGGACTAGGTGGTGCCCACCTGAGGACGCTCCTGCTTTGGGCAGCCCAGAGGCCCAGAGAGGGCCATCACCCAGCCAGAGCTGCACAGAGAGGCAGGAGAGTCTGCTTTTCTGTGCCCAGCTCACTGCAGGAACCACTGAGCTTCCCAGAGGCCCATGGGGTCTGCTGCCCCAGTCCAGAGCACACTCCACCTTCCCCCAGAACCCCTGCCCTCCCCTGTCACTGTGCTTTCTTGTCCCACTCTCCTGTAGAATATGTGCCAGCAGCTGGAGAAGCAGCACGAGGAGGAAAGGAGGAAGGAAAAGGAGAAGTCTGAGACAGGCTCAGCGTTGAATTAGGACCTCGGAGGCTTTGGGAGCCCATCCTGAGACACCCCCACCCTCCCTTTGTGCCTCAGTTCTTTCCCTCAGTTGCATCAATAAAGTTTCTACATTGGAATAGGCAGGCTGACATTTGCTCACTCATTCATTCACTCATTCATTCATGTTGAAGCTTATGCCACTGGCTGCAGAAGCCTCTGCTGTAACCCCCAACACACATGCCAGGATGGACAATGGCAGGTGGTGTGGGAGCCCAGGTCAAGGAGGTTCCTTCTGCAGGAGGGGGAGTCTGGGAAGGCTTCCTGGAAGGGGCATGTGAACCAGCCCAGAAAGATTAGGAGCTCGGTAACACCTGCTGTTCCTGCTGCAAGCCAAGGGCCTGAGAGGACAGGTTTGAGGAACATAAGGCAGAGGACCCAAAGCGGGAGTTCGGGTGGATAAGGTGGAGAGGACTAGGCACAGGGCATGGTGCCAGGCTTGAAGGACCTTAGGGCAAACATCACCTTGGTCACATGGGAGGTGAGCACCTGGGCAAGGGCCAGGGCAGGGCCAGGGGGAAAGTTGGAGACACGGAAGACACAGAGTGACGCAGGAAGAGTGGGGATGTGCCTCCAACAGGTCCACGGGTAGGAAGGGGGATAGCTGTGAGCAATGAGGAGTCAGCAGTCCCAGATTGCAAGAGGGATGGAGTCCCCGTGGGATGGACCTAAACTAGCAGTCCAACATCTCCAGAGGGGTCCTGGATTGGAGAGTCTGCTGGCTGTCCTGAGGGACCAACCCTTCCCAACCCCCCCCCCCATGCAAGAATTTTATGCACTGTGTCTCAAGTACCTTAATAAAGCTCTAAATCTACACTAATAAAAGAGAAACATGCAAAATGACTATCACTTTGCTATGCCTTCACTAGCCACTAAGGAATGAATATACAGATTACACCTTCCAAGATGGTGGCAGCCCCATGCCCCTTCAGGACAGAGCAGGAAGCCTACTATGAGGGACAGGGCCCAGGGAGCTACAGGAGTGGTGCTCCATGCAGAGTGAAGACTGAAGGCAGCAGCCAGAGGGAAGGCCTGGGTCCCGGGTGCCAGAGGAAAACCGATGCCGGCAGCCAGGGGAAGGAAGGACTATTGCATTAATTTCTTTGTGCAACAAGCCTCTAGTAATACCATAAAATGCTATAGAACGATATGAAGACAGGGCATGAATAAGTAAATTATAATCTAGGAAGTGAATGAAAGGTGATGTGAGCTTGAAAATCACAACTACTCACTGCACTGAAACATGGAAAACTATTCCATGTTTAAAACTATTCCATGAATATATAAAATGGCCCTAGCTGGTTTTGCTCAGTGGAATGAGCATCAGCCTGTGGACTAAAAGTCCCAGGTTTGATTCTGGTTAAGGGCACAAGCCCAGGTTGCAGGCTCAATCCCCAGTAGGCGGCATGCAGGAGGTAACCAATCAATGATTCTCATCATTGACGTTTCTATTGATATATCTCTGGCCCTCTCCCTTCCTCTTTGATATCAATAAAAATATCATTAAAAAAATGAAATGGAAGTGCCTCCAAAATTATTAGAATACCATAATAATACTTTGTGAAAATATTATTTGTATGGATAAAGATTTGGCCACATCTGGGAAAAGTTCTTCCTCATAAACGTGTCTCCAGCACAGCAATTCCATTATAGACACAGGGGTCCTCACAGCCAATTGGCCTGGAGGTCAATTCCTCCCGGTGACACCAACAACAATCAAGACTTAATTACAACAAGGGTGTACACACAGTCCACAAGGGGGTACACCAAGAGTGTCCACATTAGGCAACTGGGAGGCAGACCCATTGAACCATATAGGACACCCAGGCACACAAAGCTATCCTACCAACTCAGGGAAGCAGCAAAAATGCCTAGAAAAGGAAGGAGATCTCAAACAAAAGAAATGGAGGAGAACAAAAGACTGGATATAAAGTTCAAAACCACAGTTATAAGGTTTTTCAAGAATTTCCTAGAAAAGGCCAATAAATTTAACAAGACCCTGGAGGATATGAAAAAGAAATTACACCACGTAGAAATTAAACATACACTGACTGAAATAAAAAATATTATACAGAAACACAACAGCAGACTGGAAGAATGCAAGAAGCAAGTCAAAGATTTGGAATACAAGGAGGCAAAGGACACTCTTCTGGAGAAGCAAGAGGAGAAGAGAATCCAGAAAGTTGAAGATAATGTAAGAAGCCTCTGGGACAACTTCAAGCGTACCAACATCAGAATTATGGGGGTGCCAGAAGAAGAAAGAGAGCAAGACATTGAAAACCTATTTGAAGGAATAATAACCAAAAACTTCTCCCACCTGGTGAAAGAAATAGACTTACAAGTCCAGGAAGCACACAGAACTCCAAACAAAAGTAATCTAAAGAGGACTACACCAAGACACATCATACTTAAAATGCCAAGAGCAAAAGACAAAGAGAGAATCTTACAAGCAGCAAGAGAAAAACAGTTAATTACCTAGAAGAGAGCACCTATACGATTATCAGCTGATTTCTCAACAGAAACTATGCAGGCCAGATGGGAGTGGCAAGAAATATTCAAAGCGATGAATAGCAAGAACTTACAACCAAGATTACTCTACCCAGCAAAGTTATCATTCAGAATTGAAGGACAGATAAAAAGTTTCACAGATCAGAAAAAGCTAAAGGAGTACATGACCACCAAAGCAGAATTCTATGAAATGCTAAAAGATGTTCTTTAAAGAGAGGAAAAAGACGAAAAAAATATAAAAATTATGTACAACAAATACATATCTATCTACAATCTAAAAGTCAAGTGAATTAAAAATCCGAGGAATGGAATAAATGGGTGAATACAATAGAATCAGGGGCATAGAATGGGAGGGGATTGATAATTCTCAGGGGGAAAGGGGTGTCTGTGTGGGAGGGCACGGGAAGAGACAGGACAAAAATCATACACCTATGGATGAGGACAGTGGAAGGGGGGAAGAATAGGTAAGGGGACAGGGTGGAGTGGGGACCAGGTAGAGGGGAACTATGGAGAGGGGAGGAGAAACAATTGTAATAATCTGAACAATAAAGATTTATTAAAAAAATTAAAAAAATTAAAATTAAAATTAAAAAAGAATACAAACACCACATAAACCCACACCTGAAACCTATATGTTCATGTTGACCAATGTCACCCCAATCAATTTAATAAATAAATACTAAAAGTTAAAAAAATAAAAAAGAAATGCAGAAGGTGGTAGAGTTAGTAATTCCATGGGATTTCCTGAGCACCCACTGTGTGCTGGGCACTGCTGCAGGATTGGGGGCAGCTGGTGAGAGAGGGCAAGCTTCCCTCATGAATAGCAGAGGATACAGACAACACGGAAGTGACTGCCTGTTTCAGATGTTGGAGATGCTTCACATAATACATTTACTGAAAATAGACAGTCCCCTTAATGCCCCGTGTTGTTGTTTGGGGTTTTTTGTTGTTTTTCTTGGAGAATATCCCTGCCTCCAGGCCTGGGTTCAGAACTCTCTGGACTTTTGTTCCTTTACAGTTGTTACCACACTCAACTGGACTGAATTTATGTTTGCCTTCCCCCACACCCTGCACCCCTACCCCACATCTCCCCTACACCTCAGGCTGGCCCGGGGACTCTCCAAGGTGCCTCCAGCATCTGATTTATGACGGGTCCCCCTCAAGTCCTGCCACTCAGTAGGGCAGGAGTGGATGGGATCGGGAGCACCTTCCCCTCTATTATCACTAACATCACTCCAGCCACATGGGCTTTCAACAGCCTGACCTTTGGCCCTGGGCTCAAGGTCAGGGAACCAAACTAGATCCGAGCCTGGAGGATTTCCCTGGGCTGACTTTTGGGGAAAGGAGGGAAGGTTTCTACACATGGCATTTCCCAAATGTGCACCGGATTGTGTCACAGCGGGTCCCCAGGGCCCTGCCCACTGTTCATTATTATAAAGGTCACAGCACCCCTCAGCTGCCAGACATTAGCGGCATCCTCCTCTGGCCATGGCGCTGCCCTGGGCCCTTGCAGTCCTGAGCCTTCTTCCTGTGCTGGACGCCCAGAGCCCGGTGTGTCCCAATTTCTCGGTGCCCATCACCAATGCCTCCCTGGACCAGGTGGGTGCTGGCTCCCTCTCTGGACTTCCTTCCCCCTGCTGGCTTGCAGTCAGCATCTCTTGGGCGCTGGGTGAGAACCAGGCCAGCCTCCAGCAGCCTTCCTCTGCCTCCAAGCTCAGAGCCTGCTTGCAAAGTCCCTCAGCAGGGCAAGCTGCACTGGGTAAAGGTCTAAGGAGGAGGGGAAAAGATTGCTTGGCAGAGGGGGGGGGGAAGATAGTAGGGGGAGTGAATGCTGATTCCTAGAGTGAGCTCCTGAAGGCCCCACCCCTCCAGCGGGCCTCTGATCCTGATTTGCAAAGTGGTAAGATCTGCCCTGTCTCCTGCAGCTGACTATCCAGGACTAAGTTCTCAGTCTCCATCACCTGCTCCTGCTTCTCCTCAGATCTCTGGCAAGTGGTTTTATATCGCCTCGGCTTACCGCCTCCCCGAGTACAAGAAGGAAGCTAGTGAATTCCATGCTTCCTTCTTTTACTTCACCCCCAACCACATGGAGGACAGGATACAGCTCAGAGAGTACACAACCATGTAAGCCCTGCATAAGGTCCTGGCTTGCCAGCTCAGCCCCAGCCCCAGTCCAGCTTCTCAAATACCAGGAGTTAGCCCCTGCCCCCTCCTGGCCTCAGCCTTCTCATCCAGAGAATGGGGGCAGGCTGACTCTAATTGCCACCTGACTCTCCCCCTCCAAGATTGTGACACTCCACTTCTCCTTGGGTATCTTACTGTTTTTCTCTCCTCTTCTCTCTGGCTTCAGGCGAGGACAGTGCATGTATAACTCCACCAACCTGAGGGTCAACCGGGAAAATGGGACCCTGACCAAACATGGTGAGCCCTCAGGGGAAGGGTTGCTGTGTGGGATGGGAGATGGTGGGTGGGCCAGCCCAAAGGAGCGCACCTGGGCCTTCGGGCAGAGAGAGCCCGGGAGACGCCCACTTCTTACATCTCCCTGGGCCAGCTGCCTGCACCCTGAAGCACTCAGTCACAGCTGCCAACACCTCTGAGCTCTTACTATGTGCCAGGTGCCCCGCTATGACACAATCCTGTGCACATTTGGGAAATGCCATGTGCAGTACCTTACCTCCTTTCCCATGTATTAACCCACGTTAATGCTCAGAAACCACCCAAGGAGGGCATTACACTGATCAGCTCAGGACATGGAGAGACAGGTGCCCACTCGGCTCTCTCACTCATCCTCCAATGACACCTACACTCAACCAGAGGTGGGTTCCAGTCCTGCCTCTCAAGCACTCTTGTTTTGTTTTTGTTTATGTGTTTTGTTAATCCTCACCTGAGAGTATTTTCCCATTGGTTTTTAGAGAGAGTGCAAGGGAGGGTGAGACACAGAGAGAAAGTAAACATCAACGTGAGAGACACACATTGATTGGTTGTCTCCTACACCTGGTCTGGGGAGCTAACCTGCAACTGAGGTACATGTCCTTGGCCAGAATACAACCCTGGACACTTCAGTCCCGGATAAGGCTCAGTCATCTTTGTTCTCTGGGAACTAGGCGTGACAGGCCACCCATGAACCCGCCATCACTGCGACAAGGCACATAGCAGGCAAATAAGATGCTAATGGAATTGAACCAACTCCTGAGGCTGCTCTCTGAACCTCATTTAACTCATCAGTAAAATGGGGAGAAAGGCCCTGACAGTTCACATGAGGCTCCTCTGATTAAGCCACATCCATTGGGCACAGGGCCTGGTGCCCTGTAGGAGTGAGGGACACATGGCCCAGGTGAACCGCTGTGCCTGAGCCATTGGCTGTGTGGCCTGGGCACACCCAGGTTGCCTCACCTGTGCGGAGGACCCATTGTGCTATCTCCATGGTCTCACCCAGAGGCTTTCTCTTCCAGAGAATGGCACAGACCATTTTGGCCACCTACTGCTGCCCAAGGACCCCAAGACCTTCATGCTTGCTTTTTTCCCAGAAGACAAGCAGAAAATGGGGCTGTCCTTCTTTGGTAGGTACCCCCAAACACCTACCAGGCTTCCACCAGGGCCACCTGCTCCTAGGGCTGGGCCCCTCGACTTCCAGTCCTCCCTGGTCTCTACCCAACATTCTCCCCTGCCCACCCTACTCATACACTGACATGCTCACCTGTCCCCTTGCTCCCTCCTGCAGCTGACAAGCCAGAGGTGACCCCGGAGCAAATGGAAGAGTTCTATGACTACCTCACGTGCATGGGCATGGACAAGTCCGAAGTCCTGTTCAGCGACGAGAAAAAGGTGAGGGCCAGGAGGACTAGGTGGTGCCTACCAGGGACGCTCCTCCTTGGGCAGCCCAGAGGCACAGAGAGGGTCATCACCCAGCCAGGGCTTCACAGCAAGCCAGGAGAACCTGCTTTTCTGTGCCCAGCTCACTGCAGGAACCACTGAGCTTCCCAGAGGCCCATGGGGTCTGCTGCCCCAGTCCAGAGGACATTCCACCTTCCCCGGGGACCCCTGCCCTGCCCCATCACTGTGCTTTCTTGTCCTGCTGTCCTGTAGAATATGTGCCTGCAGCTGGAGAAGCAGCATGATGAGGAAAGGAGGAAGGAAAAGGAAAAGTCTGAGACAGGCTCAGCGTTGGATTAGGACCTCGGGGACTTTGGGATCCATCCTGAGACACCCCCACCCTCCCTTTGTGCCTCAGTTCTTTCCCTCAGTTGCACCAATAAAGTTTCTACATTTGGAATAGACAGGCTGACATTTGCTCACTCATTCATTCACTCACTCATTCATTCACTCATTCATTCATGTTGAAACCTGCACCCCCGGCTGCAGAAGCCCCTGCTGTAACCCCCAGCACACATGCCAGGATGGACGATGGCACGTGGTGTGGGAGCCCAGCACGAGGAGGTTCCTTCTGCAGGAGGGGGAGTCTGGGAAGGCTTCCTGGAAGGGGCATGTGAACCAGCCCAGAAAGATTAGGTGCTCGGTAACACCTGCTGTTCCTACTGCAAGCCAAGGGCCTGAGAGGACAGGTTTGAGGAACATAAGGCAGAGGACCCAAAGCTGGAGTTCGGGTGGATAAGGTCGAGAGGACTCAGGCACAGGGCATGGTGCCCGGCTTGAAAGACCTTAGGGCAAACATCACCCTGGCCATCTGGGAGGTAAGCACCCGGGCAAGGGCCAGGGCAAGGACAGGGGTAATGTTGGAAACACAGAAGTCACAGAGGGAGGCAGGAAGAGTGGAAATGTGCCTCCAACAGGTTCATGGGTGGGAAGGGGAGATGACTGTGAGCAGTGAGAAGCCAGTGGTCCCAGAATGCAAGAGGGATGGAGTCCCTGTTTGATAGACTCCCTGTGGGATGGATCTAAACAGGCAGTCCGACATCCCCCAAGGGGTCCTGGATTGGAGAGGGTGCAGGCAGTGCTGAGGGACCACAATCTCCTCCCCAATGCAAGAATTTTATGCACTGGGTCTTTAGTACTTAGATAAAGCTGGAAATCAATAATAAAAGAGAAACAAGCAAATCAACTATCACTTTGCTATGCCCCCTCTAGCCAATCAGGAGTGAATATGCAGATTATACCTTCCAAGATGGCGGCAGCCGAATTCCCCAGAGTGTTTGGTCAGAGAGGAAGCCTGCTATCAGGGGGAGGGCCAGAGGCAAAGGGAACAGGGCCCAGGGAGCTACAGGAGTGGTGCTCCATGCAGAGTGAAGACTGAAGGCAGCAGCCAGAGGGAAGGCCTGGGTCCCGGGTGCCAGAGGAAAACCGATGCTGACAGCCAGGGAAAGGAAGGCCTATTGCATTATTCTCTTCATGCAACAGGCTTCTAGTAATACCATAAAATGGTATAGAAGGATATGAAGACAGGGCATGATTAAGTAAATTATAATCTAGGAAGTGAATGAAAGGTGATGTGAGCTTGAAAATCATAACCACTCACTATACTGAAGCATGAAAAACTATTCAAAATGTATAAAATAGCCCTAACTGGTTTTTCTCAGTGGATGGAGCATCAGCCTACAGACTATAGGGTCCCAGGTTTGATTCTGGACAAGGGCACAAGCCCGGGTTGTGGGCTGAATCCCAAGTAGGGGGCAAGCTGGAGGCAGCAGATCAATGATTCTCATCATTGATGTTCCTATCCTTCTCTCCCTCTCTCTTCCTCTCTGAAATCAATTAAAATACCATTAAAATAAATAAATAAAATGGGTGAGCATCCAAAGTTGTAAGCATACCATAATAATACTTTGTGAAAATATCTGTGTGGATAAAGATTTGGCCCCGTCATGGAGAAATGCAGAAGGTGGTAGAGTTAGTAATTGCACAGGATTGATTTCCTGAGCACCCACTGTGTGCTGGGCACTGCTGCAGGATTGGGGGCAGCTGGTGAGAGAGGGCAAGCTTCCCTCTTGAATAGCAGAGGATATAGACAACACAGAAGTGACTGCCTGTTTCAGATGTTGGAGATGCTTCACATAATACATTTACTGAAAATAGACGTTCACCATAATGCCCTGTGTTGTTGCTTTTTTTTCTTTGTTGTTTGTTTCTTTTTTGTTTTTCTTGGAAAATGTCCCTGTCTCCAGGTCTGGGTTCGGGACTCTCTGGACTTTGGTTCCTTCACAGTTGTTACCACACTCAACTGGACTGAATTCATGTTTGCCTTCCCCCACACTCTGCACCCCTACCCCCACATCTCCCCTATACCCCAGGCTGACCCGGAGACTCTCCAAGGTGCCTTCAGCATCTGATTTATGACGGGTCCCCCTCAAGTCCTGCCACTCAGCGGGGCAGGAGTGGATGGGACCATGAGCACCTGTCCCTCAGTTTCCACCTTGGCTTTGAACAGCTTAACCTGTTTTCTGGTCTCAAGGTCAGTGACCCAAATTAGACCCCAGGGTGAAGGCTTTCCCTGGGCTGACTTTTGGAAAAGGAAGGAAGTTTTCTGCACGTGGCATTTCCCAAACGTGCACCAGATTGTGTCACAGCAAGTCCCCAGGGCCCTGCCCACCGCTCATTATTATAAAGGTCACCCCACCCCTCAGCCGCCAGTACCTCTGACACCAGCGGCATCCTCCTCTGGCCATGGCGCTGCCCTGGGCCCTTGCAGTCTTGAGCCTTCTTCCTGTGCTGGACGCCCAGAGCCCGGTGTGTCCCAATTTCTCGGTGCCGATCACCAATGCCTCCCTGGACCAGGTGGGTGCTGGCTCCCTCTCTGGACTTCCCTTCCCCTGCTGGTTTGCTGTCAGCCTCTCCTGGGTGCTGAGTGAGAACCAGGCCAGCCTCCAGCAGCCTTCCACTGCCTCCAAACTCAGAGCTTCCTTGCAAAGTCCCTAAGCAGGGCAAGCTGCACTCGGGAAGGCGCTGCCAGAAGCAGGGAGGGTGATCCTGGGCTGGGGAGAGTGATGGCCGATTCCTGCAGGCCCCACCCCTCCAGCGGGCCTCTGATCCTGATTAGCAAAGTGGAAATATCTGCCCCAGTCTCCTCCAGCTGACGATCCAGGACTAAGTTCTCAGTCTCCATCACCTGCTCCTGCTTCTCCTCAGATCTCTGGCAAGTGGTTTTATATCGCCTCGGCTTACCGCTTCCCCAAGTACAAGGAGGAATCTCGCAAAATCAATGCATCCTTCTTTTACTTCACCCCCAAACACATGGAGGACAGGATACAGCTCAGAGAGTACATGACCGTGTAAGCCCCACACCTGGCCCTTGGGTACCAGCTCAGCCCTAGCCTCAGCCCAGCTTTCGGCCCCTCCTCCCAGCTGCCCAAACCCATGGATCAAGCCCCTGGCGCCTCCTGGCCTCAGCCTTCTCATCCAGAGAATGGGGGCAGGTTGACTCTAATTGCCACATGACTCTTCCCCTCCAAGATTGTGACGGTCCACTTCTCCTTGGCTATCTTACTGTTTTTCTCTCTGGCTTCAGTGCGGGTCAGTGCATGTATACCTCCACCAACCTGAGGGTCAACCGGGAAAATGCGACGCTGACCAAACATGGTGAGCCCTCAGGGGAAGGGTTGCTGTGTGGGTTGGGAGATGGTGGGTGGGCCAGCCCAAAGGAGGGCACCTGGGGCTTTGGGCAGAGAGAGCCCGGAGACACCCACTTCTTACATCTCCCTGGGCCCCGCTGGCTGCACCCTGAAGCACTCAGTCACAGCTGCCAGCACCTCTGAGTTCTTACTATGTGTCAGGTGCGGTCTGAAGTGCTTTGAATGAATTAACCCACGTTAATGCTCAGAAACCACCCAAGGAGGGCATTACACTGATCAGCTCAGGACATGGAGAGTCAGGTGCCTACTTGGCTCTCTCACTCATCCTGCAATGACACCTACACTCAACCCGAGGTTGGTTCTAGTCCTGCCTCTCAAGAACTCTTGTTTTTTGTTTTTGTGTTTTGTTAATCCTCACCTGAGAGTATTTTCCCATTGGTTTTTAGAGAGTGAAAGGGAGAATACAGAGAGAAAGGAAAATTCAATATGAGACACACACATTGATTGGTTGTCTCCCACACCAGGTTTGGGGACTGAGCCTGCAACTGAGGTACATGCCATTGGCTCGAATCCTATCCTGGACCCTTCAGTGCCTGGGCCCATGCTCTATTAACTTAGCCAAACATGCTAGGGCTGTCACTTTTTGTCCTTTTGGACCTAAGGGTGGCAGCCCACACGTCCCTGCCATCACTGCAGAGAAGGCACATAGCAGGCACACACAGATGTCAATGGAATTGAACCAACACCTGAGGCTGCTCTCTGAACCTCATTTAACTCACCTGTAAAATGGGGAGAAAGGCCCTGACAGCCACAGTTCACTATGAGGCTCCTCTGATGCCACATCCATTGGGCACAGGGCCTGGTGCCCAGCAGGAGTGAGGGACACATGGCCCAGGTGAACCCCTGTTTCTCAGCCATTGGCTGAATGGGCCTGGGCACACCCAGGTTGCCTCACCTGTGAGGGACCCACTCTGCCATCTCCATGGTCTCACCCAGAGGCTTTCTCTTCCAGAGAATGACACAGACCATTATGGCCAACTGCTCCTGCCCAAGAACCCCACGAGCTTTATGCTCGCTTCTTTCCCAGAAGACAAGCAGAAAATGGGGCTGTCCTTCTTTGGTAAGCACCGCCAAACTCCCACCAGGCTTATCCAAGGGCCACCTGCTCCTAGGGCTGGGACCCTAGACCTCCAGTCCTCTCTGGTCTCTACACAACCTCCTCCCCCACCTACCCCACTCATACACTGACATGCTCACCTCTCCCCTTGCTCCCTCCTGCAGCTGACAAGCCAGAGGTGACCCCAGAGCAAATGGAAGAGTTCTATGACTACCTCACGTGCATGGGCATGGACAAGTCGGAAGTCCTGTACGGCGACGAGAAAAAGGTGAGGGCCAGGAGGATGAGGTGGTGCCCACCAGAGGACGCTCCTGCTTTGGGCAGCCCAGAGGCCCAGAGAGGGCCATCACCCAGCCAGGGCCACACAGAGAGGCAGGAGAGTCTGCTTTTCTGTGCCCAGCTCACTGCAGGGACCACTGAGCTTCCCAGAGGCCTATGGGGTCGGCTGCCCCAGTCCAGAGCACACTCCACCTTCCCCCAGGACCCCTGCCCTCCCCTGTCACTGTGCTTTCTTATCCCGCTGTCCTGTAGAATATGTGCCTGCAGCTGGAGAAGCAGCATGAAGAGAGGAGGAGGAAGGAAAAGGAGAAGTCTGAGACAGGCTCAGCGTTGGATTAGGACCTCGGGGACTTTGGGGGCCCATCCTGAGACACCCCCACCCTCCCTTTGTGCCTCAGTTCTTTCCCTCAGTTGCACCAATAAAGTTTCTACATTTGGAATAGGCAGGTTGACATGTGCTCACTCATTCATTCATTCATGTTGAAGTCTGGGCTCCTATCTGCAGAAGCCCCTGCTGTAACCCCCAGCACACATGCCAGGATGGATGATGACACCTGGTATGGGAGCCCAGCACGAGGAGGTTCCTTCTGCAGGAGGGGGAGTCTGGGAAGGCTTCCTGGAAGGGGCATGTGAACCAGCCCAGAAAGATTAGGAGCTCGGTAACACCTGCTGTTCCTGCTGCAAGCCAAGGGCCTGAGAGGACAGGTTTGAGGAACATAAGGCAGAGGACCCAAAGCGGGAGTTCGGGTGGATAAGGTGGAGAGGACTCAGGCACAGGGCATGGTGCCAGGTTGGAAGGACCTTAGGGCAAACATCACCCTGGTCACATGGGAGGTGAGCCCTCAGGCCACGCAGAGACAGGGGGAAAGCTCGAGTCACAGAAGCCACAGAGGGAGGCAGGATGAGGGGGAATGTGCCCCCAACAGGTCCACGGATGTGGAAGGGGGGATGGCTGTGACTTTAGAAGCCACAAGTCCATTGGCATGCACCACAAACACCAGAAACTCTGGGAACGTTTTGGAGGGTTTTTTTTTGGCATTTCTTTTTTTTTATGATCAATATTCATTCTTCATTTGCCTCATAGCAAAAATAGAATTTTCCAATGCCCCAAATATACAAATATCACTCATGCGCACACATTCCAGAAAAGCTGAGGTACAGGCCGCTGCGGGGTGGGGGGTAGGACACGGCCTGGTGGCAGGGCCATAGGCCAGGGCCCGGCAGCTAGCTGGCCACTGGCCCAATTCCACAGGGACCCCCCGGATAGAGCGGGGGGGGGGGGGGTCTCGAGATGAGGTACAGAGGGGGAGCCATGGAGGATGGCTTCCTGCGGTGTCTCCATCCCAGAAGGCCCATGGGAAAGGCTGCTCCGATCACAGAGCAGCTGGGGACAGGTCACCCTTCGGGCCGGCACCCCAAGATATCCCCAAAGGTCACAGTGTCTGGGACCGGCCACGTCTTTCCAGCGATGCCTTCTGCCAAGCGGCAGGTCACAGGCAGGTGGCCAGGCTTGTGCCAGGGCCCCTGGCCCCACCCCTTCTTATGTGGCTTCCTGAGGAGGATACACGCCCAGGAACACTCCTCCCTTTAAGAACTGTCCACCCGCATATAAAATACATATTATTAGCTGGAGGTGGAGACGCCCAGAGACTGCATGTGGCAGAAGGTCCCGGCCTTGGTCCCGGCACCTCCTTCAGGGGCTGCTGCCCTGGGAGGCGACGTCTCTGGACGAGCAGAGCTCTCCCGTTTTGCAAACACCGGGACTGAGCCAGCAGGGCCTGTGCTGGAGGGAGAACCCCTCGTGAGGGGTCCGCGGGGCCTTCGGGGGAGACGGCAGCAGGCTGTACGCCCACCCGTCCGCCATCTGTCTCTGAACCCCCAGAGCCATCAGAAGAGGCAGGAGCCCCGCAGGCTGTGGGCTTGGCGCAGGTCGGCCGACAGGGAGCGGCTCATGTGCTTGGTGGTGGTGCGGACGCTCTCGGCCGCCTGGACGGCTCGGCTCAGGGCCTTGTTGAGCTCCTCCAGGTCCTCCAGGTCCAGCTGGACGGAGCGCTGGCGTCCTCCGGCTGCCCGGGAGGAGGCTGCGGGGGGCCGCTCGGCAGCCGGTCGGGCTGAGGGGGTGGTGGGGGCTGAGGTAGGTGCTCCTGGAGGACCGTAGAACCTGAGGAGAAGAGGGAAGTGGGCCCTTCACCGCAGAGAAGGCTGGGTGCCGCCCGGGAGCACCGGGTTGTAGCCAGCCCCGTTCTGAGCCCCACACACCCCTACCTTCTGAGAATCTGAGGACCAGCTTGACCTGAGAGTTACCCAAAACTTCCCCCAGGGCAGAAGCCACAAACACAAAACCCAACCAACCCTCCTGGCTAGCAAGCAGGGGCTATAAGGCAGTGGACCACCAGGGGGCAGCAGAGGCACATGCAGCTTTCTGAAGGGCGCACAGGCCTCAGCCTCTGGGCATGCTCAGTCTTGCCGCTGGAGAACATTTAGGGCCCCATCAGCCCAAGCTGCAGCAGCGTTAGAAGCACTATGGTTCCTGGGCACCCTCTATGCCAGGGGTCTTCAAACTTCTCTCATTATGAGAATCACCTGGTGGAGGTGTTAAAACACAGATTCCTGATAGCACTTCTTATAGTTGGGATCCGGGAATCTGTGTTTTAACAACTCCACCAGGTGATTCTCATAATGAGAGAAGTTTGAAGACCCCTGCGAGTCTATGCAGTACGGGCTGTCCATACATTTATTAGTTCACTTCTTAATCCTCACCACGGCCCATGGCACAGGGGAACAGTGGCCTACCCAAAACCATGACATGGCTATGCTGGCCAGGGCTGTCGGGCCCTGAGCCCGGGGCCTTTCTCCTCCCCGCTGGCCCATCATGCCTGGGGACATCACGCTGGTTAGTTCTGCTCACAGGTGTGAGCCTGGAAGGACAGGGAACGGCCGCACAAGTAGAGACCCCAAGGTGACAGCGGGCACTCGGGGTTTCTAAGGGGCCACAACGTCCAGGTGGAACCGTCCCTGCAGTGAGCGGGAGCACTGTGCCCGAGGCCCGAGCTCACAGCACGGCCTCTCCTAGTTGCCGGTGCGGAAGGTTCCTGAACCACTGGCCCAGACTCAGCTGAGAGTGACACTGTAGCCCTCATGGGGGCTGGGGTTCCATGGTGCCCTGCACCTCTGCTTCATATAATACATGTGGGAGAAGACAAAGGGGCACACACGCCCAGGTGCTCAGCTGCCTGACACGGGCCCCAGGCTAGTTGATAAGCAATTCAGACGAGAGAGAGAGAGAGAGAGAGAGAGAGAGAGAGAGAGAGAGGGAGGGAGGGAGGGAGGGAGGGAGGGAGGGAGGGAGGGAGGGAGGGAGAGAGAGGCAGGCTGGGAGGGTGGAAGGGGGCTCTTACACAGTGGGGGACGAGTAAGGCATCACGGGAACCGAGGAGACGTAGGCAAACGCGGGAGGGGCTGGTCCCGAAGGCGCAGCAGCCAGATACCACAGTCCTGGGGGCGGTGGCGGAGGCTGGGACCCCACCCGCTTGCTCCTCTGCTTGGGGCTGCAAGCGGAAGGGGCGTTTCTCCTTGTGGACTTGCCTGCCCCTGCCAGGAAAGGACACCAGAAAAAACAGTATGACCATCTGGAAGATCTAGCAGAGAACAGAGGGTCCGCCCAGGCCCGGCCCTGTGCGAGCTGGACACGGGGCTGGCTGTGCTGGGAGGCCGGATTTGGGAGGCAAACCCTCTGCCCAGTGTGCGCCAGAACAAGGGGTGGGAGGGTGGGGGGGGGGGGTAGGGAGGAGCCGCCCTGCACCTCCCTCCGCTCCCCACGGGCCCCAAGCTCCCCTGGCAGAGCTGATGGAGGAGCCTGAACATCTGTGCATCTGTGCCTACCGGAGGTGGCTGGGTCTGGGCCGTCACCCTCTGCGGGGGATCCTGGCGACCCAGCTCGACCACACAGGGGACATCGCGGGGCATCAGTGGGAGATGGTCTCAGTGGGTCCCTGGCAACAGCACCCCCTGGAAGACCAGAAGGAGATGTGGGGCTGGGGGATTATGTCTGAGGTATCAAGCCTGGAGCCTCCTAAGCAGACACCCTCCCCACCCCCCCACCTGCAAAGCACTGAGCTTCCCTCCATGCACCCGTGCAGAGGAGACAACACTGATGGCCACCGTGACAGGGAGAGGCCACACTGCATGACCTAGGCCATCCGCTCAGGGCCTTCCTGCATTATTTTATCAAGTCCACCAAGCCCCTGGGCTAGCTGCTGCCGTCACTCTCACTTCACAGATGGGAATGCTGAGGCTCTGAAAGGTTGAAGAATTCGTCAAGGTCTCAAAGCGGTGTTCCTCTGTCTGACCCCAAGCCCAGCTCTCCGGACTGCAGCCAGTGCCCGTGGTCCTTCCTCCACAGTGAGGCAGGCCCCTCCTCCATGTGGGAGGAGGGGCCTGCCATGGCCCCGGGCACCAGAGGGTCAGCGGAGGCCTAAACTTGCCCAGTTGGCAGGAGAGTGGGCAGCCTCTGGGGTCAGCTCCAGGGCCAGTCCACGTTCTCCAGGCCTCAGCTCCGCCATCTCTCCCTCTGGGCACACCCCAGGCTGAATTACGTGCTCCTCAGCCACCCAGCTCTGGCCACCCTACTGTGTCCCCTAGAGTTCCTTGGGGACAGGGCTCAGGGCCCAGCACTGGAAGGTGGTTAGTGAATGAGTGAATGAATGAATGAATGAATAAATGACTGATCAGAGAGGACTATTGGAACTCCAACAAAGGAAGAAGGGCATAGTAGAGTGCTAAGGCTCTGGAGTCACAAGGACCTGGGTTCAAATCCCAGCTCTACCACTTGTAAGCTATTGGCCCCTGGGCAAGTTCCTTGTCCTCTCTGAGCTTCCTTACTCATAAAATGGCCTTAATAACAGAGCGGGCAAAACCTACTTCATAGAATTGCGAGGATGAATGTTTGTAAAACCCTTAGCATGATGCCCTTATATACAGTAGGGGATTAATAAATGTCAGCTCCATCATTATCATTATCATCATCATCGTCACCATCATCATCATCATCATCATTGCTTGAAAGGCCTGAGAGCCCATCTCCAAAGCTTTCATTAGGGATGTGGAACCTGGAGCTCAGAGAAGTTAAGGAATTTGCCCAAGGTCACACAGCAAGTCAGTGGGGAGAGCTGGGACTAGAACCCAATGTCCACATTCTCAGGCCACTGCTCTCTCCATGACTCTTCCCTGATGGGTTTGGGGGAAAGAATGGGAGTGGAGGGAGCAGGGAGGGGAGATAAGATGGAATCGCTGCTGCCAGTCGCCCTGCTGGTCGCACCCTCCTAGTGGGACTTCTCAGGAACTGCTTAAATCAGGTCCATGGTTTCTCCACGTCAAGGTCAAGGAGGGTGGCTTTAGGCCTTAGCACCTGGAGCAACAGGTGTGAGAGCAGGACACCCTAGGAG